TTTGTATTTATAACATAATACTAAGTAAAAAATAAAACATTAATCAAATTTATTCACGAGTTTTACTTAAGTCTTAATTTATTATAATCTTAAAACCTTAAGATAAAATTTTTGTGATATAATTACATAAGAGTAAAATGTTGATGTATTTACAATTTATTATGTATCAATAGTTCTTGTCCTGTGCGATCTTAGAATTGACTGATGACATTTATATCATGAATGACGAAGTTAGTGATTCGATGCGATGCGTAGTAACTGCAAGGGAGTCAATTCTTTTATAAAGAGCAAAAGCATAATAGAGATACACCATTAACTAACTGAAGTCATTATTTATTAATATAATTGATACTTTGATATTTATTATTTCAAAATTGATACTTTCTATTTCAATACTGATAATGTGAGTAAAAGTACCTTATGAAGCTGGTAGGTATCAGTTCGGGAATATTGCTTATCATATGAAGATTTGCAGATTTCCCACAATTAGTCTCGCCATCAAGGTAGGTTTGGTAGTACATTGTGCCAGGTGATCCACAGCATTTTACAGCAGTGATTTTATGATAATGCAACAGAGTGGAATAATGATTCACATAGAATATATGTCATACTAAGAGATTCCCAAAAGCAAATTTCATGAACTATTGAACACATCTATTATCACCCCAATTATAAATAAAGTCTTTTCATTTGTTTGATTTAAAATGTATGTCAAATTATAAAAATATGGGTGGTATACATATAAAAATGACTCCCACAAAAATAAAAAAATATTATTTAAAATATTTATCAAACTATACTAATATACTACTCTCTATCTCTCCCCGCTAACTGGTGATCGTGATCTGTACCTTGAACCCCCGTCCCTACCGCCCCCGTATGAATCGTAACTACCATTTCCAAGTTTTCGCGATTGCCATCACGGCTGCCATAGCTGTCGCGACTTCCATAACCACCGCGCCCGCCGCCATAAGAGTCGCGATCGAAACCGCCGCGTCCTCGCCCCCGACCTCTAAAACCGCCGCCCCTGGAACCACTTTCGTAGTTGCCTCTAAAGCCGCCACCCCGACTACCGCGGAAACCACCGCCCCTGCTTCCTCGGAAACCGCCACCGCCGCCACCCCTAGGACCACGGCCGCGACCCCGCGATATTTCTACGCGCAACTTTGAACCTAACACTTCTGTACCATTCAAATTATCACAGGCTGTTTCGGCTTCGTCCTTGCTGGCAAATTCGATGAAAGCGAAACCTGGCGGATTGAAGGCGACCCAAACGTTATTGAGCTTTCCAAACTTCTCGAACTCGCCTTCCAGATCTTCCTTTTTGATGCTGTCGGACAGGCCGCCGACGTATACGCGAGTTCCCTTTGAGTAATCTCCGTCACCCATGATGATAGAAGTTGGAGATAGAAGCGATGTAGTCGTCGAAGCGCCGTAGATTACTGTGAAGTAATTATAACGGGATTGTCGATCGTAGCGATGATAATTAAGAGCCTAAACAAGCCGGTACAGGCGATATAAGGCGCTGCGATGTTTTATATAAATACTACGAAGTGATCCGGACATACACAATATATATATTACGACATAATTATATCAATTGCTATGTTCGGAGAGGATCATGCACTATTATCAGGAAATCGAATGAATAATATACGAAGTATTAAATATAGATTTATTCGTCGATCATAAAGCAAATGCGATCCAGATGATAATTTAGACAACACGAATACAATGCGTAGTTGCCGTGTTTTAAGTAGAAGTCCAGACGCCATTTTCAACCGGGATTTAAAGCAAAACAAATCAAACAGAAACGCCGCAGTTTTAACGCAGAACAAGTTTTCCTGTTTGATATTTGTTGAATAATATTCGTTGCAAAAGCGATGAGAGCTAGTAGATTTATATCACAAGAAAATAGGTGCATAGTCGTGTAATGGCGGACAAAATGGCGTCGAAGATAATCGAGTGAGGCACTTGCTTTTTATCTACGATAAAAATTAAACGAAGCAACAATTATAATAGTAAATGATGACTTGAGTACGCCGAGGTGTATCTCTTATCAGCTTTTATTTACCGTACAGCGATGCGTCGATATTTCTTAGTACTCAGAATCACTAACGAACGTCACAAAACTACTAAAATTTATACAGACGAGAAGACGAATGAACGCGGAAGATGATGCGCTAGCTTATATAACCTCGGTTTGGTGCGAAGTTCAAAGGGGTTCACATGACTGACTGAACGCATACAGTTTTGTTCATTTATGCATCTGTAAGTTGGTATGTGTGTGCCAAGCCATCTTGCAAGCCCGCTAAACGCCATTTATTGATTTTAGTAATGTTTTATTATAGTTATATTAAAACTACGTTATTTATATCAAATCCTGAAATTACATATTATACTAATTGAGATTATTTATGGAAATGAAATATAGAGAATCATCTAACTCCTTCATTGTCTGTGCACTGAAGAGCTTATCATCTCATAAATAAAAACTCTACACATCATTGAAAATAAAATTATATTTAGGCTATTAGAGTACATTGAATCGATATGTAGAGCATTGCATTACGAATGAACGGTTCTAAATCCTTGCATTGTAGAAAACTGCTGAGATATTACTATATAATATATTAAGTAAATTGGAACTTTTATATATGAAACTGCTATTCTCTATTAAAGCAAATTTAAATGTAATGCACATATTCAAATAACCGAAAATTTAGAATTATATTGATAAATAATATACATATATCTAATTAAATTAAATTTAAACATATAAATTCCTAAAAACATAATATAGAAGCCTTAAAAAATAAAAGGGCTGATGAACGTGTCTATTTTTTCAAATATTCCACAAGATATACAAAACCACTTTTCAAACTTATAAACTATATAATCAAATATTTTCTAAAAATATTATTCTTTCTTACCTGTTAACTTCAATTTATATGGCAATTTTATATTTTAGCCTATGGATATATGATGAAATTGTATATTTAGGTAAACAATTGTTTATCTGTAAGGTATCGTACTGTATATAAATTATTTATATGTTACACTATAGACAATTTAATGTATGCTCTAGTAATTATTGCATAAAAATAATTACTAAAAGCAGATTTATTATCAAACATAAATTGTTTAATCTTACAGAATCATAAGCCATATAATGAAGCTCAATCAAAGATATTTTAGCATTTTTGTGTACAATTATATAGATATATACATAAAATATTTTTTACCCAGCAATTTTTATTTCAAAACCAAAAAGCAGTTTTATGGATTAATCAATTTCTTTCATCTAGCTCACTAGATTTTGAATTAATCAAATGGCAAACCTTTTGAACAAGCTTTATTTTCATCTAAACAAAATCTGTATCTTTCTTTTAAATTGATTGATATTTTCAGATTCTAGACTACAGCTATTAATTCATAATAATCGAACTCAACTGTTGCTTATGCATAGAAAAAATCAGGGAAAATGGTATATTACAGAAGAAATACAACATGGTAGATTTGATCCTTTCATACATAATGTTCATAGATTTAGTATTATTTACTTCGATTAATTATTCATTATTTTTAGACAATCATTCAGATATATACAATATTTCATACCACCATATATACATATTTTGTCTTAATGAATTTAAATATATAACTAAAAGCGTACTAAGTACTTACCACAAAGCAACTGCATACTTTCACAAACTGTGTAATAATGCAGTGAATAAAGAACAAAAGAGACTTGTTATATAAAAGATGTATATTCAATATGTAGATAAATATTTAATTTCTATATTGTATTAGGAGGAGCTAGTTAAACTTGCCATTAGCAACTCCATTTTATTTAAAAAGTTTTTACCTTCCATTTTTTCAATTCGAACCTGAAAACAATTATAAACAGTTAACTCTCAGAGCACAAGATTACCGGCTAATTAAATAATAGATAATATTCTCTATTTAAATTATATATCAATGTAGCAGATTTTCTTTTGTGTAAGTACTACAACTGACTTCAATTACCTCTTTATATTGACTGCCAAGATTTTCCCACTTTCTTTCCTGAACCAGTTGACCTGGGAAAAAGTCTTTTCTTGGACTTTGAGATATATAAACTTGCATTCCATTTTGCGGTTCACATCTAACTGCTATAGCACGATCTCCCATAGGCGATGCTAGAATGCAGCTGGCAGCATTTCCTAAAGGCTCTACTGGTCCAATTCCTAAATGACTGCTTGTTGCCAAATGCTGCCAGCCCATACATCTGGCTACAGCTTGAAGTGCTAATATTTGGTGTTGATATATTTGGCAGAAAATGAGATCTCTCAATTCTTGCGGTTCATATGACATATGCATTACTCTTCCATCTCTGCATATACATTTTAGTGATTTTTCTCCAACATGAACCACAAGTGAAGTTCGGCACACAGTATCATACCTATAAATGTAATGTGACCATTTGAATAATTATTAATTTTTTTTTAAATTCTCTCTTTATTAATATTTTTTTACTTTCTTTTTAATTTAGTAATATCTCAAACACATTTTCAAAATTTTGTAGACAAGCTTGGGGATATTTATTTAAAGATACTTCTTGTTACTTCAACTTTATAAATTTGTTTAACTTCAGCTTTAATTTATTCTCAAAGTTTACTTATCTATATAATATAGTTAACTTATCTACAAACTAAGTATACCTTCACTCTTGCTACTTCAACTTTAGCCTTTTTTTTAATTATATCTGGTTTACTCTCAAATGTAACATGTAAAGTCATACAATCAATTTACTAGAAGATTAATGAATAAAATATGTAGCATATGATAATGAGAGAAAAAAAAATAAAAAGAGAAAAAAGTATTGTATTAATAAAATGATATACAAATTCTAGAAATAGTTCTTTTACAATTTTTGGGGTAGAAGAGCATGTTAATATTAAATCTTTTAATTAAAAACAAAGTTTACATACCCATGAGTCATAATATTAATCTTGACACAACTTTGTGTTGGGCTATTCAAAGCATTCCAATGAGAAACTATTAATGGATCTTTGACTTCCTTAGCTATTGTATCCAAAACATATTCTGTACGCATTCTCATAAAAAAGTGTTGTGCTTGTTGAATAATTTGTTCTAATAAGGTCTGACTTTTTGTCATTTCTAGAAGTTCATATCTGCAAAAATGTTAGTATTTTTTATCTAATAGAAGGTTTGGTAAAAATTAAACAGCATATCAAATTTAATCAAAACCTGTCTGCTGCTGTAGGTCCTGCTAAACTTCTTTTCCTGCTTGGCCCTAATGGTCCACTGCTTGGATGAGGAAATGGATGATGTGTATTTTTATGATGTACTTCCCTCAATAATTGATGTAATGAATGTTCTAATACATGATCATGTTCAGTCTTTTGCTGTGCTGGATTTCCAGAACCTGTTCCCCCTCCTGTTGAATGGCATAGACCAATAATAAGTTGAATTCCAGGAAGAACCTAAAATAAATAAAAACATGATTAAAAATGATAAATAATTCTTAGTTTCTTAGGTATATTCTTACAGTTGCCATAATTTGATTTCCGACTACCATGTGAGGAACTGGTGCCCTCAATTGCACAGCTTCCCGAGCTAATTGACTAAAGAGCTCTTTACAAAACAATACATTTTGAGCAGCTTCTAATCGCTGTTGCCAATGCAAGTCGGGCTGTGTGGCTACTGGACCAGGGTTCAGGAGACTTATGGTTGCCGAGCATAAATCTTCTTGATCTATAAAAATAGTTAGATTGATCTGTTTGTTTCTTTATACACAGATGTGTTACATAGATTTTATGAGTTAAAGAACATACTTTATTTTAAAGATCAATCAAAGAGCAAAGTGCAATTTTAAATTAGAAATATATATATTTTAGTAAGAATCACAGCCAATTCTTTGAGTGAAAAAATACATACATGTTATTACACCACATATGTTTCATAGTAAGAGTTAAAAAAAAAACAAAAACAAAAAACAACATTTTACAGCAAACTCACATTACTTTATGATTAAAATTGTGACAAATTTATTTTTAATTTTTTTAATTCTATTCCTGTTCATTTTGCCTACTTTGAGTAAGGCACTGAATGATATTATATTTTTATGTAGATATTTTGATTTTTCTGGATTCTGTTTTAAAGAATTTTATTATTTGCATTACGATTAAATATTTATTTCATATATATTTAATATTTACAAAATATTTTTGCAAATAATATTTAAAGTAGTACTGATCACCATTACATGCCAAAATTAAAACATTTTGATGTGATATAAACATTATCTATCAAATGTGAACTTTTTAATACACATATTTTGTGAATTTACCTTTTTGACATAAAACTTCTATATAAGCAACACCTTGTAGCTCACTAGGGACGGTGACTCTTAATGCAGAATTATTTTTACTACTGCCACTTGAGGCGGTATCAGGGCTGTTCGTATTATTGGCAGGCTCTTCCTCTGCTTTGGTTACCTCAAACATACCAGTTTGGGTATATTTTGATCCTGCAGTTCTATAGCTCAAGTCTCCAATTATAGAATTTGAAACCTTTTTTAAACGCCAATTCTGGCGCAGCCTATAATCAGTAAAATACATTTTTTTAAATTTCAAATAACATAAAACCTTCCAACTTTTATTCTCAAGGTTTAAATAAAATAGTTAAGCATTTACTATTAATATTTTCAAAGATACTGAACAAAAACATGATTATTGTTTAGTTATCTATTCTAATTATTAAGATTTTGATATAAAAGAAGTTTTAGTAAACTTATCTCTAAGAATTGCATAGAAACAATTCAAAATAAAATGTGATCTTGTTACATTATTTCTTTTCAATTTAAGTTTTAAATGGATTGAATCATTTGGAGTTCTTTTTCTTAAAATATGTTGTGACCAAAATAAAATAACAATTAGTTTTTTGCTGAGCAAACCTTTGTTAGCAAATTAGTAGTATATGTTATAAAAATAAGACATTATAAAAAGCAATCTGCAAATCTGGATAACAAACCTTAATAATTCAATATGAAAGTCAGGTGTGTTTCTGGAATTTCTTTGCACTTCACTATGACATGTTCTTAGTCGTTCAACTCCTGTAAGTAAAACTGTTCCAGCCCCAACCAATGCTTTTTTACGAGCATAAACACTGACCATTGGTTTAACATCAGCTGGTTCTTGTGGCACTGGATCCAAAACCTTTCGATAATAAGATATATGTATTTAATAAAGATTCAGATAAATAAACATAAATTTAAACATACACAAAGATAATTATTTGGAAATTAATCAATATAGTTATAAATAAGTAAAACAGTTGCATTGAAGACATTGCAATAAAGTTAATTATTATATTTTCAATAAAATGAAATTTTAAAATGAATGGCAAATGACCATTATGATACATTGCTTAGACGATCATGTTACTACAGTTTTGTTAGAATTCAAGTAACATTTAGATACTATTCTTTATCAGAATTGGACTTCAATTTGTTTACCATGACCGATGATTTTAAAACATTATTTCAAAAAAGTCAAGTACAAACTGACCATGTATTTATTGCCCTTAGCAATCGCAAGAACATCTGCCAAGACACAAACTTCTGTAAGTGCTTCTCTTAATTTATTTCTAACTGAGTCCCATGGCCAAAGACTCGATTGAAAATGAGCTGGATCTTTTACGTCTTCTTCTTTGATACCAGTTTTGCTGTCAGTATCAGTATTTTCCTTTTTGATTGGAACATCATTGTCAGGTTGTTTACTAAAATCTATTCGTTGGGCGAAACGAGCAAGATTCTCCGATAATGAAAGAGGACTAAACAATAAAAAAATATTAGAAATATAGATTAAGAGCTAATACTGATGTATAAAAATTTACTAACGGTTGGTAAATTTCTTGTCCATCGAAGGTAATTTCTTGAATTTGATTCTCAATTGGCGCTTCGATAGAAATATTTACTGAAGACGCCATATTAAAATGTATTTTGTATAAGTTTATTAGCTTAAAACCATTTTCTACAATCTCGAATTAAAATTCAACAAACAAACATCTTGCATTAAAGATCTGAAAACGCAACTGTCAAAATGTCAAACGAATGCGCTTCCATAGACTAGTTAAAACACAATCCTAGACATGACACATAGCTTATACATACTCTTATTTTATCTATGCTTTTGGTTTATTATAAATTTTATTTTCATATTTGTTTGTTTGTTGTTTTTATATTTTATGTATTATTATGTTATCTGGGACATAACATAAAAAAGTATTAATCATTTAGTTAGCAGTTGACCCTACTTCTTAGACAATATAATAATTTTACTCAGAAGATTTTACTCTATAAGGTCTGTCACTTGATACGCTTTAGGCGCTCATGGCGAGTAATGGCAAAACATACTGCGAAACATTTTTTATTTGCTTTTATTAGTTAATTTAAAAAGTTAGCAGCAGCGTGTTTACTTACGATTACGAAATATTTATCTTTTCGTATATATTCAGATAATGTCCATGCTAGATAATATTTAGTATATTATGTATCTACAGTGGTTTCCAACCTTTTGGTACTTTATTTTAGCATGCCACCACTCATAGAAAAGAAGAGTAAATGTCCTCTCTAGCCATAGTTGAGCCCTCCCAAAGTTTCTTACAATCTAATTATGGCATCGTGCCAAGGCAAATTGCTGGTACTTCCCGTACCAAAAAAATTTTTTTTTTAACTTTGAACAAATAAATTTTTGAGAAATTTTAAATTTTGAAAGAAATTGAATTTTTGGAAAAAAAACTTTTGGGAAAAAATGTTTTTTTTTCTTTTGGTATATTTTGGAAATTTTGAACTATTTTCAAAGCAATCGCTTTGCTTTGAAAAAACAAAGCATAGAGACAAAATATCGAAACGCGTAAGCGTCGCCGATGTTACGGAGCCCATAGAAATGTCTACAAAATTGATACGCATTTTTAAAATTTCCATAAAATATCTGATAATTTGATGTGCATAAGTCTAATGATCATTTTCGACCGCCAAATGGCTTTTTCTTTACTTTTTTTGATAGATCTTCGAAACAGCTAGGCCTGCCTTTCCAAAAATTTAACGAAGTTACCAAATTTTTGCACTTTTTGCTCCGTATCTTTGGAACGGCTAGACCACCTTTGCCAAAAACTAATTAGCACGTCTCCTTATCAATACGATTCGAATGTTTTTTGAATTATTCAAATCGGTTGATCGGTGTTCCCAAAATCGTCGACAAAAATTTGTATATTTGTATCCGCACACACACACATACACACACGCGCACACACACATACACATATACACACACATACATCAATTTTTTCTAAGGTCACGTTTATTGCTACGAAAACCAAAAATTAATGAATAACATATATTCATACATGATAAACTTTTCAGACAATGGAAATTTGAGATACATATATAAAACACTCATTATTGAGGCCAATGTGTATCTATGTAAAGGTCGAAAATATCTTACACAAAACTCTGATCTTAATTCACATGGCTATAATTACCATGAATTTTCTCCTGTAATATACCATTTGTGAGAAAACATTTTGGATATCAACCTGCTCAGCAAGTCAGGCCCCGTAATATAGTAAGGGTAAAACACGTATGATCTAGTAAGTATTTATTGAAATAAGATGTATATTTTCAAAATTATTAAAAAATTACTGTTTCCAAATATGTGCTTAAAATATTAAAATTTATTGCTTAGCTTGCTGTTGTTCTTTAAATGGTAGAACTTGTGAGACATCAGCTTCACTTTGCTTTTCCACCATGCGTTTGATGCGTCTCATACTAACATGTTCACATGTTACGTAACTCTCACCCGTTTTTATGAGATATAATAATTCAGCTCTTGACTCATCGATCATTTTTTGTTCCTGCTGAGATAGGGTCGGAGGGGCGTATTCGACAACTCCCTAAAAGATCCCATTTATTCATAACTATATGTCAGTAGCAATTTATCTTTAGATAAGATAGAAATACTCTGAACAATTGTTTAATATGAGTCATTGAAAATATTAAAAGGCAAAATCAAAATTTGACAATCTGATTTTTAGTATGAGTATCTTATGGACAAAGGATTCTTTACTATCGAATTAAATGTCATACTGTCGAATTTCATAGCAACTTTGTCTTTTGGAAACAATTCAAATAATTCTATCACATATAAGAAAATCACAATAAAAATTACGCCAATCGCAATAAAAATGTTTTAAATCACAATTTAACGCTCCACTTTAGAATAATAAAATTTGCAGGAATTAAGTAAGATGATCTCAAGTCTCAATCTCAATCTTCGAAGTAAAGAAATAAATGCATATCTCAACTTACTTTGAATTTATATAACTAAAGAACTAAATCATATGTAAAATCTGAACATAATCAATACAAAAAAAAACTAAAAAATCAGCATCAAATGTATAAATGTTTACTATGCTTACCTTGCAATCAACATCGACTTGTGTGTTAAGGTACGGAGCAATCTTTGCTATATCCGGAATAGTTTGTCTAACAAATGCTCCATCTACGCACGTAGGCCCCACTCGAATGCCTGCATTGCAAAAATCGTCATTTTGATTCAAAACATGCATTGTTGAATTTGAATTTTCATATACTGGAAAAGGGTTGTTCTTACTGACAACAATAACTTACCTTTTACGATGTTTACGATAAATCTGGCAGCAGCAAACCCTTGAGAAAGATCTGCAGCGCCTTTGAAATTTTTCATATTACAAATTGTGTCATCTGCATCACGGATTAGTTTTGTTAAGCAATCCACTTGACCCTATGAGAATTGAGAATTCATAAATACAGCCAATTGAATTTTTTTCCACAACCAATTAATAGTTCACAACTGGTCGGATAGATATTGTGGACTTCATCAGTATTTTATTTTTTTGTATCATGTGCTTGATTCAGTTAGTTACCGGAGGAAACCTGCAGCAGCTTTGATCGCTGCTGAGAACAGGAACGGTGAGTGTTCTTCCATATCCCCCATACAGTGGTATGCTAACTTCACTAGGTTTCGCCCCTGTCACCATGCTTACAAGAGTATTGGCCCGCATAGAACTTACAGAGGTGACACCAAATATGCGACGTGGATCATAGACGCAATGCTTTTTGTATACCTAAATAAAAAAAACAAATAATAATTCAGATCTTGAAATAATTATATAAATACTTATTGATCCTTCCCACCTCGCTGACCATTGGTACAAGACATGTCACTGGAGATGTGATGACACAGAACATAGCTCTCGGGCAGACTTCAGCGCAATGCAATGCAATTTTATGAACAACTGATGCATTTAATTCGAATAGCTGTATGTCGGTTAAATGTGAGTTAGGTGGAAGACCGCTGCATGTAGCTACAATGTCCGCCTTCTAAAAAGTGGACGATAAATTCAGTTATTAGTAATTGCAATAAGAGTTTCTAATTCTATGAATTTACTATCTTTTCTCCATCTTCTCACTCTTTAAAGTAAAGAATTGAATTAAGTAAATTTTACATTCAGGTCTTAATATTCTAATGGACCGAACAGTACCGAACAGTACCGGATAAAATAAAAATTTCGTATATGAATGGTTACCTTTACTGCAGCTTTAAGCTTAGCGGGTCCCTCATAGGCAGTGATGGTGGTTCTGGTGTCGATGTGGCTGAGATCAAGTGCTACTGCTGGAAGACCACAACCCTTGTCGTCGTGTAAAGCCAACTCGTCAATCAATGGACATTGCTTTAGCATCAAGGCGCAATATCGGCCGCAACCACTTGCTGCCCCGGTCACAGTGACCTAGTAAGAAAATTTTTATTATTATTTTTAAAACAAGAGTTATTTTATCAATAACCTTACTTATTTGACGATACAAGCAACTAATAAATGAATGTTAAATATATGATGAGAACAGAAGAGCAGCACTATGCCTATTTAGTATTTTTGATCAGCAATAATTTTGTTAATTTACCAGATAGCTGGAAGGAAAGTAAATTAAATGGTATTTGAGCATTTGTCTATGTGGATATGAAATACTGTCATTAAATAAACACCAAAATGGTTTATAATGACTTTTATTGTCAGAAATATGTAACACGATACTTCATTATCTTTTATACAAAGGTTATGGATATAACAAAATATAATGTTTTAAACAAGAAATTCTTGTGCTGAATTTTCTTTTTTACCTTTCTATTTCGTATTTTGTCTTACTGTTAAGCCAGATTTTTCTTTCTTGTGCAATCATCACCAGTATTGTTTAGCAGCCTTCGTGTTATGTGCGATTTTCTGCAAAACCTACGTTTTCCTGAACGAAAAGATTTCTAATATATCTATTCGGATATACTTCCGAAATAAAAACCAAAAGAATCATAAAAAAATTAAAATGTTTAATTCGCACGCAAAACTTTAATCTTACAATTTTTGTATGATTTTGATGACTTGATGCCATTTACCGACATCGTGCTTATGCTAGTGCTATGCGCAACTTTTGCACACACTCTGGCAAAATATTAGGGCACCATGCAGCATTTAGCAGAAATGTAATGTGGAACAAGGTAGCTTCAACGAATTTCGGTACTATCGTATATGTTTAGAGACACATTAAGTTTAAAGTACGCAATTATTAAATTTAAATTCTTGTGATATCTAATATAAAGTAGTTTATCATAATAGTTATTGCATATCTTAATGCACAGCTTACTGCATCAAATATAAGAAAACGCAAGTTATTAGATATGTTAATAATATTAACAACATATATTAATTTAAAATATGTTTACAGCGCACTTTATTAGATATTAGATATTGGTTACACAACCATTTGAACTTTATATATTTTATTTGTAATAAATTCTTGGTACATTAAATACTATAGTAGGGGCAGTGCTGGATTTACAGTAGGGGCAATCGGGGCTACTGCCCAGGGCGGCAAATTTTTGGGGGCGGCAAAATTTGGATAGTGAGAAAAAAATTCTATACAATATAATCAACTTTTTTTTAACAACAATTTTCATTTCAAGAAATATAACTAAGAAAACATAATGCGATTGCAATGCAAAATTTGGGTCGAAATAACCGATTATTAAAATTTATTATTTTGCCTTGCCTCTCTCTCCGAACGTAAATTATCAAATTGGTTAACAAGTCATTATCAAATTTGTCAATTTGGCTAATATAAATATCCGTAAACAAGCTGAAAGTTTAAGAAAAATATTTTCTTCAGTTCTCGAGCCTTCTTAAAATGACGAATTTCTGCACTTCCAAGCTTATAGAGTTGAAAAAAAAATTAACTAGTGACGCATGGCATTGTGCCTTCAAATTATTGAAACATCCCGTACTGAAAAATACATTTTATAAAGAGCTTTAAAATTGTAAAAAATTGAAAATGAAAAAAATCAACTTATAAAACACATTTTTTGTATTTTGAAATTTTTTGAAAATTATGAACTTTTTGCAAAGCAATCGCGCTGCTTAGCTGTTTCAGAGAATAAATATCAAATCTCAATTACCATTTTTCGTAATTTGTGTCAAAAACTAATCAGCACGTCTCCCCATCAATACAAATCTAATATTTTTTAATTATTCAAGTGAACACGGATCAACCGATTTAAATGATTCAATTCCTATTATTAAGGAGACGTGCTGATTAGTTATTGGCCAAGGCAGGTCCAACTGTTTTGAAGATACGGGCCAAAATGCCAAAAATGATAATTTAGTTGTTGAGAAAAGAAGCGTCCAATATTATTCAAAAAAATTTATAGAATAAATAACTGCTTAAATTTGTGGGTGGCAGGTTTAGCGGTTTCGATGATCCAATAAAAAAATTTGGAAAAGAAACATTTGGTAGACAAAAGTGATCATAAGTCATATGCGCATCAAATTATCAAATATTTTGAAAATATTTTAAAAATAAGTATAAATTTTGTTTACATTTATATGGATTATATAACATTGTTTATTCGTTAGATTGCGACGCGGCGCTTACGCGCTCCTATATTTTGTCCCTACGCAGCTGAAGCAGCGCGATTGCTTTAAAAAGAAGTTCGAAAATTCGTAAAATTTCATGGATGGGGCGGCATTTTTGTCAGTGCCCCGGGGCGCCAAATTTCTAAATCCGGCCCTGAGTAGGGGTATCTGTATATAAATTTATTTTATCACAAATTATTATCATTAGCATTTTTAAATTCCGGTAGGGTGAGTTTTTGTGATCGTCCAAAAATCGAAAATGAAAGTTTCTGCATGTCTTTACATTTCAGAGATTTCTGATCATTTTGGTTTACTTTATATTAACCCTTTACATGTGTACCCTTTGTGCACATGCATCACTTCTTCTAATTATCACATCAACACTTTTTCTCTTTATAAAAATTTTATTTACATTTTTTTGCGATTACTATAATTTACTCTTCGTGAAGTTAAAAAAAATGCCAATTGATTATCAAAAATAATTATTGGACATAAGCATACCAAATTGTCAGATATTTTAGTTTAGGAGAGAATGAATTTTAAATGATCACTAAATAACAATTAATATATTATGTTAATTCGCCATGATTTTTATTTAATACTGAAACTAAAATTAGAACCATGGAACCATTTTTAAAGCGTTTTATATGAAAGATTCACTTTGACAAAGTTACAAAAAAACAGAGCTTCAATATTTCTCCAAAAAGCTTATAATTATGATAATTTTTATTTTAAACATAACATCAACTAGTAGGGTGTATGGCATCGTGCCTTGAGGCAAATTGCTGGAACTTCCCGTACCGTAACGAAATATTCGAGATATACTGAATGTTTTCAAATAGATTATTATTAATATTAAAACATAGTTTAATATTTATAAGAATTATATAAACTGAATATAAGTTGAAATTATTTTTTTAAAGTATATTAGAACTGAAGTCAGAATTAAAAATAAAATTAAAATTATTTTCGATATACAAAAAAATTTTTTTTTGAAAAAAAAAGTTGCAACAAAAAATTTATTTTCCAAAATCAATTATTTTGTTAAGACAAGCAGAAAGTTCTTTGAATCATTTAAATCAAACGCTTAGTTCTCTCAAAAACTGCCATTTTTTACATATTTAGCTCCGTATCTTCGAAATGGCTGGGCCTGCCTTTGCCAAAAACTAATAAACACTTTTCCCAATCATTACTAATTGAATGTTTTTTAGATAATTCAAATCGGATACTCCGTTCTCTCAAAACTCGATTTCTATTTTCTGCACTCTTTGCTCTGTATCTCCGAAACGGCTGGACCTGCCTTTGCCAAAAACTAATCAGCTCTTTTCCCTATCAATAGGAATCGAATGTTTTTTGAACCATTCAAATCGGTTGATCCGTGCGCCCGAAAACGTGACTGGAAATTTGTATCCATACATACATATACACACACACATCCATGTTTTCTGAGGTATGCCAAAATGTTCAGAAACCTTCAAAACGTCGAGAAATGTAAAAATTTTCAATTTCGATTTTCGGCCCATTACAATAACTTACCCTACGGGAAGTTAATAAAATTAACAATGTGACTCCCAAGAATAATAAGTTTGATTAGAAAATGAATTACTCTATTTCATAGAAAATGATTCGTAAATTTATAAAACCAGATCAGAATCAATTCTTAAAATGAATTGTCTTGACATTTTATCTGGTTAAAAATTTTGACATTCTGAAAAAATTGTGGCGCCCCAGGGCCCGGGCCTCACTGGCGTATGGGTTAATCCAGCACTGATTCAGATTGTTCCAATCTTCAACAAGCAAGCAACGCTTTTATATACAAACAAGTCGATGGAGCATCGCGCTCGTGCGTAGCCTCGCTTGTATTGAGAGAATCGCGTCTGTTCCCCTATTCCGCCGGTACCTTCTATTGAAACGGATAGTGTTAGTCCCTTGTTTATACTGACCTACCCTAAGATGACCATGTGCAAAATAATTATACATCGGATACACATTGTAGTTCACGATCAACGTTTTGCGAAAATTAAATTCAGAAACACATGGAATCATATTAATAAAGTACGTATGTTCGTTCGTATAGTTATATTATGAACATTTTATATTTTCTCATTTTCCAACTATTAAAAGAATTTTTCGCGTAACAAATTTAGTTTTCTCTGCTTAATTAGTTATTGATTCCAATCGAACGCTGATGTGTCGAATAACCAATTCCATTGCTCGATTGAACCGTACGGAAATACAAGGAGACAAGACACGAATTTTGTTCGACTTGTTGCTGATGCCCTGGTAATTCAGAAAGGTAAAATCGAGCAGTTGTCACAGTCGGTCTTGGGATATTTTAATTAATTAATTTAATTTGAAATTAAATTAAATTCTTAAAAATCTTAAAATATTTAATAGTTTAATTTTATTTAAAAACAGCATTTGAGTCTACACTTATTTGTTATATATAATATTGCAATTGATTATGAAAATAAGATTAAAACTAAAATAAATTGTATTTGACCAGGTTACATAATATACGCAATATTTTTTAATTATTTTAAATTAATATTATTTTAATTATAATTTTTAAATATGCTATACTAATGAGACTTAAAATCAGATTATAATTAAATGTTTTATAATATGAATTATTTTATTGAATTTTATTTAAAATGACCTTTTCCAACATGGATCAAGTTCATGTAAATTCAAAATCAGATGGGATTTAATAAAATCTGCTTTTAATTATTTTGCATAGTGCTGAAATCATTTCTGACGAGCTACCAGAGCATCATGCACAGTTATCGAATCGAGCGACTAATATTTACAAATCGTATATTTCGTTCAAG